TGGAGTCAGAGGCAGGAAGATTTATAGGTAAGTTTGTGGCCAGCATGTTCTACATAGTGAGTTCCAGGACACCCAGGGTTACATGGTAAAACTGTGTCTCATAAAAAAAAAAAAAGATTAGGTATGGTACTAATCTTCCTAAAATGTGCATGGACATAAAAAACATGAAAAGAAGTAGAAGAAGAAATAAATGGGAGATCACAGATTATGGGATTTTTTTTTATAAGAAAAGCAAGGGAAAACTTGTTTTCTTTTATTTAATTAGGTATATTATTGTAGATGAGGAAATTGGAATTTAGAGAAATAGGGTGTGATAGCCACTGGACACTGGATTTCTTTTAATAATAATAAAACTGTTATATAAGTGATTGTTATGATATTTTTCACAGTTTTGTTAATATAATAAAGAGCCATTTAATTCCACAGAGAGATGCACGTGGGATATAAATCGTATTTCAATAAAATTGGTACAAATAAACATGGGATTTTTTTCTCCAACTAGCACATCTGAAGAGGCATTCAGTGCTAAGTATTTTTACTACAGGATTTCTCAAATTTCTTTTATTGTGTGTGTGGTTTTTTTTTGTTGTTGTTTTGTTTTTTTTAAGACAGTGTTTCTCTGTATTGTTTTGAAGCCTGTCCTGGAACTAGACCAGGCTGGCCTCAAACTCACAGAGATCTGCCTGCCTCTGCCTCCCAAGTGCTGGGATTAAAGGTGTGCACCATCACTGCCTGGCTTCTCAAATTTCTTATGAAATACTAGTTTGGGTTAAAGTCAGAGATGTACCAATGCTTGTTTGTCTTAAACAGTGCTAATTAATGCAAAAATTTGGTATTGTTTACTCTAAACCACAGGACATATTAGTAATTATTTTCACAATGTAGTATATTTATATTAAGACAACAAGTAAATCTGTCTTGGGATGTGGAAAACATTTTTCTTTAAATTTGTAATTTAGAAAAACATTCTCAGTTATAAAATAACACCATAATCAGCATACATAACATGAGAAAATGCAAAAGAGATAAGAAAAAGCCAGTCACTTTATTTCCACCCACAATACAACTACTTTTATCATTTTCATAAATTTTTCCCTTGTTTTGCAGTATGTATTTTTCATATGATTGTGATCACATATGGTTCTTCAGCATGTATCCACTATCTGCATTCATTATAGCTTTGAAGTACGACCTTAGTGAAACTTGGCCACTGATCTGTCTCTCAAGCTTCCTCCTCCCTCCCCTCTTGTTTTCCCTAGAGCTCAAAACCATTGCCAAGTAAGCCTGAGGACAATTGAAGCCATTAGGAAGAATGCTATCAAACCAGGCTTGTAGTGTCTATCATCTTGAAGTACCCATCCATCACCATGAGGCTTTCTGTTGTTTCTCCCATGGTTATATAGAATGAATCAATACCATAGCATCTTTGCAAAGAAGGTCATGAATACAAACAGAAATTTTAAGAAGCCTCAGCTCTCTTCTAATCAAATATTACCCCCATGTCATCTCACAGGAGATTTGCCATGTTGTTGCAGCATTGTTAATGCATGATCTCTTTAATGCTGCTGGTAGAACACACCATACAAAATGGAAAGTTATTTTCATATTGCTAGGGCATGATACTAATAGTATAAGAAGATGCTAAGTCAAAGGTTGTATTTTAAAAGCTGTGATCCTAATTTTATCAATTAACAGTATGGACTGTGATCCTAGTTTATCAATTAACAGTATGGAGTCACTTTAAGCCATTGTACTACCTTTTCCAAAGTCCCAAGGCAGCAAATGGCAAATGGGTTCCAAGTTTGTGGATCTAATGAATGGAGGGAGGTGAAGGAGGGAGGTAAGGGAGGGAGAGAGAGAGAGAGAGAGAGAGAGAGAGAGAGAGAGAGCTTGTAGAGTTTTATTAGCGCCACTTGGGACATGTCCAATTTCTGTGCAAATGTGCTCATTGAAGGAAGAGCCACTTGACTCCACAATTGAAAATGCTCTGTGGAGATAAGCTCCACAAGTGACACTGAAAGATTTATCAAAATTAGTTTACCAAGACAAAACTAAAACAGGGTTTGTTGACATATTTGATAAAAACCAGGCTTAAGGAAATTTGCTGCTAAAACCTTAATAAATCTTAAATCCCAATTTTCTCTGTTATAAGTTCATTCATTAAGTGTTTTAACTAACCTACCCCACCCCCATATACAGATGAAAATGATGTGTTGTACGTGGAAGTCACGTTAAGCCACTGATTTGGCTCTATCTGTGACTGAAACAACTATTAGAACAAAGGCAGAAAAAAAGTAAAGTATTTAAAGCCTGTAATGTCAATCACTCATAGCATCCTGTGAGAAAAGCACATACGTAGTATGACGTCAACTTCTCAAGGACTATTAAGAAAAGCAAAGTGAAAATGTGTGATTTTTTAATCCAAAGATCAAAGTTATGAACAAATCTCTCAGTGCATACACTTTACTGGAATTAACTGATGTTAATGGAGTCAGTCCAATAGAAAGAAACATATTTGGTTCAAAATGTGGCAAGAAGCTCAACCTAGTTCCTGAGGAAGTGATGTTCCAAAAGGTCAGTTGCAGAGAAATATATAATATGGATACAGTTTCAGAGTTTACTAGTCGACTTTGATGAGCAAGTAACTTTGAAGTGAACTGAAGTCTTAAAGAAAGGGCAATGGCATGGCATACAGTGACTAATTGATTTGCAGTGAGCAAATAGAGGCTGGTGAGATGGCTCAGGGGTAAAGTTCCTAATGACCTATGTTGGATCCCTAGAACCCATATGGTAGAAGGAGAGAAAGAACTCTGGAAAGTTGTCCTTTGACCTCCACACGTGTGCTGTGGAGCCCCTGGCTGTGTTCATGCAGACACACAGACAATATATATATATATACATATATATATATATATATATATATATATGTATATATATATATGCAAATGGATGATTAAACTCATAAGTCCCTTTGAAAGGTGAACTTTTAATCTATATCAAAGCAACCATGAGTCCAAGTGACAAACAATAGACCCAATCCAGAAAAGACCTTCAAAAGGTGGGGAGAATACTGCAACACCACACAATTAAT